TAGGACTGACCAAAAGGCGTTCTTGAAGGCGGGAAGGAAGGCCCTGTGCGGGGAGTGGGAGTGGGAGGCAGGGACAACAGTGGGAGCTTGCTTGTGGTGGTGGTGGTGGGGAATTGCAGTGGTAGTGGGTGGGGGTGGGTGGGGGTGGGTGGTAGTGGGTGGGGGTGGGTAGGGGTGGGTGGGGGTGGGTGGGGGTGGGTGAGGGTGGGTGGTAGTGGGTGGGGGTGGGTGGGGTTGCGGGTAGGGTTGGCGACTGGGCTGAGAGGAAGGGGTTAAGTCAGGGGGTGGATGGGGCGGGTCTGGGCGCGTGGGTGGACCGCCGGTCAAAAACACAACCGGCACGCAACCGAATTCGTTGACCACCTGCTGGAACCCATCTTCCAGTTCCTTTCTCTCCCTCTCCCCCTCGCCTTTTCCCCGACTTAATTTTGCGAGTTCATTATATTCAGATGTTGTGTCGAGTGCGTATTGATCTGTCGTGGACGTATGTCGTACTAACCCCGCCCGACTGGTTTCGGAACCCGCCGGCCCCCTCGGTGGTGCTGGATGACACGCACCTCTGTCTATGTGTACGGTACGACACCCGCAGAGATGTACTGCAGCAATACGTACAGCATCATGGAAGGCGAGGTGCTGAGTGACGCCTGGTTAGGCAACTTCCCCTTTGACCTGGACAACTGGAAGGCGGCGTGCGTGAGCGGCGGGCAGGTAGGCGGGTGTGTTGCGTCGTGTGTGTATATGTGCGTGTGCGTGTGTATGTCTGTGTTGGGGTGCCCCCGGGGGAAGTTGAACCAATATACCAGTGGTGTGTATGTATGTATGTATGTATAATGGGGGATATATGGGTGGGATGGTATCGGTGGGCCTGAGCGGGTACGGATGGGAATACGGCGCAATGGCTGAGTGGAGACTTGTGCCGTACTCCCCCCCCCCCACACCCTTGATCCCAAATCGCTTGCACCCTCCCTCCCCTCTCCCGGTCGCTTTTCAGGGGAGTACGGGTCACGGCAACGAGTACGATGCCGTACAGGTGAGTGAGAGTGTGGTCTCGAAGCGCGGAATACCGCCTTGGCCCCCCCCCCATCCGCACCTTCCCCCCACCCCCACCCACCCGCACACCCGTAAGGCCATTCTCGAGGCCAGTCGTCAGCCTCTGAATCTGGACCGGCCTCTATTTGAGTACGACAACAGTACGGAGTGGTGGTGCCAGCAGCCCCCCCTCCCCGCACCCTCCCCGGGATCGGAGGTGGGGCCTTGCGGCTTGTGGAGTCACCTGGAGCATCCGGACATGCGGGTGAGTGTGTATGTACATATGTATGTATGTATGTACGTACGTGCGTGTGTGCGTGTGTGCGTGTGTGCGTCGGTGTGTTTCTGTAAGCGGGTTTGTATGTATGTATGTACATGTAGTAAACTGAGCCGCGAAAAGAAGTGCTGAGGATATGTGCGCGCGGCAGCGGGCTGGGAAGGAGTGAGATTCGCCGATGGTGGGTGCAACGACCCCACCACCACAAGCTCTAGGCGACGGAGGCGATCCTCCCCCCCCCCCTCCGCAGGTCCGTGCGGACGACGCTGACGGCATGTACATGTCCATGCGAGGTGTGAAGCGGGAGGAGGGCTTCCCCCAACCCGGGGTAGGTTGCGGCGAGGGGGAGGTTGGGGGGGGGGGGAGGTAGTGAAAGGGGGCCAGGGGATATGTGCTGGTGGTGGTGATGATGGTGGTGGCGGTGGTGGTGGTGGTAGTTACAACTGACAAGTTACACACACACACATGCACACGTGTGGGGGTGTCCTTAAGAGCGGGGGGGGGGTAGGCCAAGGACGGAATTGATACATAATAGATACGAAACACAGGTCGAGGGGTTTTGGTGGGGTGGGGTGGGGTGGGGTGGGGTGGGGGGTGAAAAAGGGCACGGGGGGCCTTTCAATGTGCCACGAGGGCGAGTTGGGAGAGCCCTTCTTAACCTGCCGTGCCCCACCTGCCTTTCCCTCCCGCCATGTCGGGTTTTACTGTTCGATTACATTCCCCCTTACGCCCCATCTGTGTGCATGTTTGTATGTGTGTGCATGCATGTGTGTGTATTCCCCCAGGCGAGTGAGGATAAACTCAGACTCCCACACCTGGAGCAGAGCTTCCCGGGCTGTGCGGGTGAGGTCGTGAGTTGGGGAGAGGGAATGGGGGGTAGATCTGGACTGGAGAAACGAGGAAGCGGTTGGTTCGTTAGTGGGATGCTCGGTTGTTGGTTGGGCGTTAGTCGGTTGCTATACTGACAGACATGTGGCATGGAGTGCTCCTCACTCGCCTCCTCCACCAGCCCATAATTACACACACACACACGCCTCCATTTCGAAGAGTAGCAGGCACATCCATTAGTTTGGTATAACCAAACATTTGGTCTTCGTTGGTCAATGACCCTTCGCTTCGTCTTCGTCTTGCAAAATGTCATGGTCCTCCCCCCCTTTTCCGTGGTTCGCCTTAACTCCCCCTCCCCCCACTCCCCCNATTTTCCC